AACATCATATTCAAGATCGAACGTTCGACATCGGTAGAATCGACTTACTGTACGATAGAATTTCGTATAATAGATCATACCGAATGAGGTAGCGAACAATCCTGTCGAGGTCACATCGAGAAGTCTACATAAATACACAAAACCACACTACAAACACGTAAAAACAAATCGCGTCGTCATCCATTCGACACGTGAACTCGGGGATAAATAAAAGAGAAGAATACGATTTCGATGGGCTACCTTATAAGTAATGTAAATACAGAAGTCATTTGCGGTATAAAAAGCAATGATCTTGTGATCGTGCCTTGATACAAACAACATATACTTTCTTTGTAATAAATTCTATTACATGTATTGCATAAGCTAAGTAATATTTATTGAAGCCTATATGTACACGCGTAAATGGAGAATGAGAAATATTTAGAAAGTCCTACACGTTGGCAACAAAAATTATCGACATGCCGTTTGCATCGAGAGAGAGAAAGAGAGAGTAGCAATCTTGATTGTATCGAGAATAGCGCCATATATTGTCATCCCACGTCACTTCTTTCCTCTTTATTAATTAAAATTACGGTTAATAAGTACGGCTCGCATACTGTTCGTTAACGACATATTTGCTTTGTTCCGCCAGAGATCCGAGTCTCGTTTAATGTCTCGTCGGCTGTTAATGTGCACTCGAGTTTTTCCGAGTAAATATTCATATGTATTTGCCAGAGCGCGCTCGAGAGGAACACTATACGCCGCGCCGGGGACGCATAATAAATACGCCTTTCTGTCTCCGTCGTGTTGCACGACGACGGTGCAATCGAGAGTGCGCGGTAAGAACGGAATCGCAAGAGCGAGCGAGAGAGAGAAAGAGAGAGAGAGGGAATGTGCATTTGTTAATTCAACACGCACCAATACACTCGCGCGCGTAAGCGGTACCACCGAGTACCAGCGCGATTCCGCGCTTGTGAATAGCGCGCGAATTCTCGTCGTGCGACACGTGCGATGCCGATCGCATCTCCTCGTAAGAGACGCAATAAGATATAAAAATAACACCTCTGTGGAGATGGGGAACGGGCACAGCTGTTGTAAATTCTTTTTTATTTTTTTATTTTCACAGAAATTGCGGTAGAAGCAAAAGATTATCGAGTAGTGATAAATATTGGTGATAAATATTTCCTGTTTGCAATAGTCGCGTTTCTATGTGTACCATTTGCCATAATTTGTGTTATTACCATTTATTTCATCTTGTTTCTTATACCTTGCTCCTCTTTTTTACATTTACTTTACGATTGGTTCAGGTGTGAGTAAAATTAATTATAATTAAACATTTTTATCTCCGCGTTTTGAATTTCGAAAAACGTAAAACTTTACGAACGAATAATCACGTGATGGATTAATTTCGAAAATCAACGAGTTCCAATGCATTATCATTAATTTAATGAATATGACGGAGCCACGTGTTGTGTATAGCTTACACATTTCTAATCGGAGAACAGAAACCTGACATAATGACTTCCGTTAAGCAAAACTTCCTGTTCAGCAAAAGGAATTCATTACAGAAATAATGGCTCTTTACAGCTGATTCGATGCTCTGTTTATGCTGGATTTTAAAATATGCATTTTACAGAAATGTGTTTAACGAGTGTTTAAAGAAATCCTCGGAAGACTCATTATTTATTGTCAAATCGCGGATAACAGCAATTTTCTTATAAATAAATTAACAAGATAAAAATGTTTAAAACACAGCAACATTTCGATTGTCGCCTCGCCATTCGGAATTTTCGCGTGGACGAGTCGTACGATATCAACCATCGGATTTGCAACAACATAGTGTCGACATACATCGGAGCAATTAAAAATTGAAAATCAGCTCTACTCCACATTTCCTCTTAAATCTACAAGCGGCTTCGTGAGAGACTCGACGAGAGGCACGACTCGCCGTCACACAGAGAAACTCACTCGTCGGAGGAGAAACCAAAGAGAGTGTTGTGCCTAGTTCTCTCTAAGGTGAGAGTCTCCGACTCGACTCGCGACGGTCTTTTATTTACGTCGTGCGAGAACGCGCGACCAGCCCGCCCGAATGATGATGATAGGCCTTTCGACCTATCGACGCGAAACGAGGAATACGGCCGCGTGACTCCAGCAGTGATTACTGTTAAGGGGGTACCCCACTGTGTTTCAGGATAATTTTCAGGAATTAATTTCTAACAAAATATTTATGAAACACCAGTAATTTTTTTTTATTATCTTCTATACACATTGAAGAACGTGTCAAAATTTTGTTGCCTAAAAAAATATAAAACTCGTCGAGTTAAGTCGTTTCGC